GGCAACAAACGAGGGGATCACAGCGCAACGAGGGGATCACACCGGAAATACCCCGAACTGAGGGGAAAAGACTTTTGTTTACATTAGTTTGGAATATAGATGAGAAATTTGTTTGAACTCGAATACCATGCAGGTGGCCTTCACTGTAGCTGAGACATGACGTGTAGTGTGGTGTGTGTGTTTATGCTGATATAATCACGGTAACGGGGTTGTAAGAGGTGAGGGGAGGAGGAGGAAAGAGTTTTTGTTTCTTATACAAGATTTCGTTCATTCTTGTACAGTCACTGGGGAGACATCTCCCGTCACGCAGGGTGCAGTCGCGCCTCCACAGATCTCCAGTATCAGCTCTTGATACTGGTAATGGCTCAAAAGGGCCACCACTTACGGGCTATTCATGCCCGTGCCACCTTTTGGGTGGCTTAATCTTCATCAATCATTCTTGTACAGCCACTAGCACACATAGCGTTTCCGGAAAGTCCTTAATACTGATTTTTCCCGGAATACGAGCCGCCAAATTGTTAAACAACCAGGTAGCCAGTAAACATTTTCTCTCGTTGTCAAAACGATAAAAACCACATTTAATTGTTTTAATTACGTTTTAAACGCGTGTTTTGAGAGTTTGTAAATATGGTTACAAAATGTGAGGTCATACTCCGTGTTAATAAAACGTGTTTTAAATGTTATGAGATAACGTTTTAGAACAAAGATTTTAAAAATGTAATTCTAATTATTAATTATTGAAATTATTTGGTATTATGAGTTTGACCAGACCACACACTAGAAGGTGAAGGGACGACGACGTTTCGGTCCGTCCTGGACCATTCTCAAGTCGATTGTCATCAAAGCCACGTTATTGTGACTCATCGCCTGTATTTGGGAGTATTATCTTTATTGCATTTAGACAGGAAGAAAAGGAGAGAGATGCAGAGACAAAGACAAAGGAGAGAAACAAAGGGAGAGAAAGAGAGAGATGGTGAAAGAGAAGAGGCAGATATGGGAGAATGGAGCTCCTTGACGCCCTGGGGCCAGATTCACGAAAGCACTTTCGCAAGCACTTACGAACGTGTATATCTTTCCTCAATCTTTGACGGCTTTGGTTACATTTATTAAACAGTTTACAAGCGTGAAAACTTCCCATTCATCAGTTGTTATTGTTATAAACAGCCTCCTGATGCTTCGGAGCTCATTAACTGTTTAATAATTGAAAATAAAGCCGCTAAAGATTGAGAGAAGATGTACTGGTTCGTAAGTGCTTACGTAAGTGCTTTCGTGAATCTGGCTCCTGGGCGACACACAGCTGGAGAGATCCCCTGAGTATTTCCAGCCCCTGGCCTTCTTCCTGCCCCAAGCAGGCCTGGGTAAGACCTAAGTCCTCCATCCCCCACTCCACTTCCCCCAAACCCCCTGTTAAAATCCTGCAATAGTCAAATAGAGAGAACGATCTGGGGGTTGATATCACACCGAACCTGTCTCCAGAGGCCCACATCAAAAGAATATCATCAGCGGCATATGCTAGACTGGCCAACATTTGAACTGCCTTTAGAAACTTTTGTAAGGAATCGTTCAGGATCCTGTATACCACTTATGTAAGGCCAATCCTGGAGTATGCAGCTCCAGCCTGGAGTCCATACCTAGTTAAACACAAGACAAAGTTAGAGAAGATTCAGCGGTATGCCACCAGGCTCGTCCCGGAACTGAGAGGAATGAGCTACGAGGAAAGGCTAAAGGAGCTGAACCTCACATCCCTGGAAAACAAAAGAGTAAGGGAAGACATGATAACCACCTACAAAATTCTCAGGGGAATTGACAGGGTGGACAAAGACAAACTCTTAGCACGGGTGGAACACGAACAAGGGGACACAGGTGGGAACTTAGTACCCAGATGAGTCAAGAGATGTTAGGAAGATTTTTTTCAGTGTCAGAGTAGTTAATAAATGGAATGCACTAGGAAGTGATGTGGTGGAGGCTGACTCCATACACAGTTTTAAATGTAGATATGATAGAGCCCGGTAGGCTCAGGAATCTGTACACCAGTTTATTGACAGTTGAGAGGCGGAACCAAAGAGCCAAAGCTCAAACCCAACAAGCACAATTAGGTGAGTACAATTAGGTGAGTACAAATAGGTTATCTTGAGATGATTTCGTTTTTTTTTTTTTTTTTAGTGTCCCCGCGGCCCGGTCCTCGACCAGGCCTCCACCCCCAGGAAGCAGCCCGTGACAGCTGACTAACACCCAGGTACCTATTTTACTGCTAGGTAACAGGGGCATAGGGTGAAAGAAACTCTGCCCATTGTTTCTCGCCGGCGCATGGGATCGAACCCAGGACCACAGGATCACAAGTCCAGCGTGCTGTCCGCTCGGCCGACCGGCTCCTCTACACACACATGACTCCCCTCCAACATGGCTTCCCTACACACACACAGGTGAGTACACACACATTAAGTATTTGTCCTTAAGTTAGAAAAGTTTAAAAACGTCTTTTGTTCGTTTACAACAACAATCTATGATTTGAGTGACTGAAATTAACGAATTTTATATGTTAAAAAGATGACTTTATATAAATGGATAGCGTCACTCACCTTTCTGAGACCAATTAAAAACTTCAAAAAACGTTTTGTGTTTGCTGGGAGGTATACCCATTCACTGCTGGGTGAACAGAGGCTACAGTTAAGAATTGACGCCCAGTCAATCCTCCCCGGCCTGGATACGAACCCAGGCCAAAGCGCTCGCGAAACAGCAGGCGAGTGTGTTACCACTACGCCACGGGAACGGCTGAGAATATCAGAACCACGGGAGGTTGTGTGAATATGTCAGATCAACAACCTGTCCTTACAGTAAATTGTAAACTGTATTTGTAAATAGCTGTACATCTCTTAATTGTATTCACACGAATATTTATTAATACATTATTTAAAGGAGGAGGTTATTGTAACAGCATTACACGCAATAATTATAATGCGGTTTTACGTAGTTACCCCTGTCACTTGGGAGCATTGGATTCATTCTCTGTCTCTACCCTTCAGAGGATCCCTATTACCGTTGACTCAAGTAAAACCTTCTTTACAAGTAATTGCTAAGACACGAGGTTCGCTCGTCACACACTCAGAGATACTCGGTGATTTTGTTCATTTTCAGTATTATGAACAGTTCATTAACTTAGTTTTGAAATTCAGATAACAAAATCCTCAGTAATTAGTTGAACCTTTGACAAGCCGTGGCTTCCTCTCCCAGTGGAGGCCACTAGAGAGAGTGGTCCTCGGGTAAATTCAGGTAACTAGTGTGAGTGGTAGCGTGTTGGCTATTGCAGGTCGTCTCTCAGGTTTAATACAACGTTCTTACTGACAAGGTTCCTGAAGGATGCTCATTTATTGCTAATCTTACACACGGTGCTGGATCTATTTATAAGTATATTAAGAATAATAATTCATTATGTCGAGGGACAGGCAGCCAGTGTATTTATATACATTATGCTTTCATAGAGTTCCTCCCCCCAGGTCGAATTACTAACCCCCCCTCCCCCCCTCCCCAGAGGATGCAACCCTTTGGGGAGGGGGGTGTTACAGCCCCCCCCTCTCCTTACAATGGTAGAGCGTATTACAACCATTGTTGTCCTGCCAGGGACTCGAACCCGAAATTCTCGATTGTGAGTCGAGAAGGAACCCGCCTGTACTTCTGTAACAAAGTATGCTACATAGCTACATAATCCCTTCTGTATATAACTCAATACGAAATATGTACTGCTGAGTATATTATGTGTTTACTGTTTTTCTGAGAGTAATTACAAAAAAGCATAGACTATGAAGTCAAATCATCTACATTACAAACTCAACATACAGTGTGTGTGTGTATATATATATATATATATATAATATATATATATATATATATATATATATATATATATATATATATATATATATATATATATATATATATATATATATATATATATATATATATATATATATATATATATATATATATATACCTCCCGGATATAGCGAGGATATTCACACTTCCAGGTTTTATCTTTCCCCTGGCAGTGAATGGTATATATTTTCAAGGTGTATTAATATATCTCTGTGCCCTCGCCTCTGGGTCCCTCATAGGCACATTAGGTCCGCCATCAACGTTACTACTTTTGCAGGCTTCTCGGGTCCCCATGGGACAATATGACTAGTTACACACACAATTTGCGATAGACATTCAGACAAATAAACAAGTTACAATCTTGTTGTATGGAAACCATTGCTTAGGTGATTCTGGGCTATTCTACAGGCCATTATAACAGACCTTTCATTCTAGGGCTTACTACAGGCCATTATAACAGTACTCATTTTTGTTATCGAGTCATACTCACGCCCAGCAGGAAGGTCAGACAGGGAGTCATACTCACGCCCAGCAGGAAGGTCAGACAGGGAGTCATACTCACGCCCAGCAGGAAGGTCAGACAGGGAGTCATACTCACTCACGCCCAGCAGGAAGGTCAGACAGGGAATATTCTAGGTCAAGATGTACATATGTGAAATATGTAATATCAAACCGCAATTCGTAATCAGGGGATCCGGAATTCGTTCCCCGGGTGGGACAGAAATGGTTGGTACCTTTACACTTTTCTGATACCTCTGTTCACCTAGCAGTAAGTAGGTACCAGGGAGTTAAGCATGTGCTGTGGGTTCCATCCTGGGGGAAGATCAGTAACCGACCTAAGGGGAACCTCGATTAAGCTATCTACAGACTTCTTGTCCCCGACATCGGCATTGTTATCAATAGTTTCGGCATAAATCACAGGATTGTAATAGTTTACCCTTCTTTCATATCTTAGTTCCATTTTCTAATTTCCCTTCCATTTTCTCTCTACTGTAATTTTTTTTTATCTGAATTTACCTGAAGCTAATTATCTTTCTAGTGGCCTCGACGAGGACAGGAAGCCGGCGGCTTGTCAAATGTCCTCCCATTATCTCTCATAATAAAACTCCAACTCTGGTTGATTAAAAATATTTTTTTTAAATGTATCTATAAAATTTATTATATAATTTGCGTTTTATGATACCGGAAAGTACATAGGCGTGAGTTGTGGCTCCCAGGGCGAGTCAGGCGAGTTGCGGAGTTCAAACAAGGAAGGGAGGAAGTAGACGGGGTTCTGAGAAGGCGATCAGGATGTAGAATGAGTTCTGATAGAGGGGAGAGGATAGAAATCAGAATGTAGATTATGTTAGTGGAAGAAATACTCTAACTTATTAATGGGAGAGATTGGCAAGTGGGAGAATTTTGTGTACAGGAAGTCGGAGGAGGAAACGTGCAAATCTTAGTGCACATTTTAAGACCTTTGAATAAAGTGTTGAAAGAACTTCAGAGCGAAGAGAAAGTGGTGATGCCGAAGGGGAACTCAGAATGCTGTAGCAAATGAATGAGAGGAGAAAGAGACAGACGATGGGTGGAAGAGGAAGTCCATGGGAGAGAAAGAGAGAGGGGGGGGCTGAGGAAGACGTGGGGGATGCTGAGGAGATCTTATCTCTTACTCTCCCGTCATCATTTCCATGAACTCTGTGAAAGGAGAGAGAGATTATTATTAAATTATTATATTAACACATATTCGAGACATCGTGAATATTTTATATATACTTAACCATACTGATGAAATGGGGGTTTATATACTCACAAATTGTGTGTACTCACTTAGTTGTGCTTGCGGGGATTGAGCTTCGGCTCTTTGGTCCCGCCTCTCAACTGGTGTACAAATTGAATCAATCAACTGGTGTACAGATTCCTGAGCCTACTGGGCTCTATCATATCTACATTTCAAACTGTGTATGGAGTCAGCCTCCACCACATCACTCCCTAATGCATTCCATTTGTTAACTACCCTCATGCCGATAAAGTTCTTTCTAGTGTGTCTGTGGATCATTTTAGGTACTAAGTTTCCACCTGTGTCCCCTTGTTCGTGTGTTAAATAGTTTCTTTGTCCACTCCTGTCAATTCGTCTGAGAATTTGTGTGTGTGTTTACTCTGTGCCTGCAAGATCGAGTTGGTAGCTCTGGGACCCCGCCTTTCACACCGTCGATTGTTTGTTGTACTGACCCCGACGAATGTGTGTGTGTTTTTGCGTGCATGCGTGCGTGCATTTATACCGAGTTCACTTAACTATATCAGTAAATGAACACTGGCAAGCTGGTCAGCGGTTGTTCAGCCTTGGTGGGACCTTGATACAAGCCTAATATATATATATATATATATATATATATATATATATATATATATATATATATATATATATATATATATATATATATATATATATATATATGGTTAGGTATATAAGCACGTGTTTCCCTCACCATCGAAATCGACAGTCCCGGAGCCGTCCTCGTCGATCTCATCAATGATACCGTCGAGGTCCTCATCGGACAGCTTGTTGTCGAGCTCCTTCAGGATCTCCTTCAGTGTCTGCGTGGTGATGTAGCCGTCGCCTGGAGACAGAGAGAGGAGGGGCGAGTGAGGGGACGACCAGCACGAGAGGAACGACCTAATACATAGAGAAAGATCAAGTGAACTAGGGATAAAACGTTGGAAGGAAGAAGAGAATAAAAGGAACCGAAAGATGGAACAAAAATGATGGCCTAGGAGACACTAAAAAGCCCCGAAATCATCTCAAGATAACCTCAAGATAGGAAGGTACAGAGGTAGTGAAGGACACGGAGGTTGGAGCAGAGACTCCGAGGATGGGACAGAGACAGAAAAAGAAATGGGGAAAGATAGGCAGAGTCGCGGAGTTAGACGGGAACTAGGGGCAGAAACGGAGGCACGAGCTACAACAAGTGTTACATAGTGAGGTAAAGATGGGCACAATTAAGAAGGAACAGAGATAAGGGTATAGACAGGACCAGAAATAGAAATTGGCAGGATATATATATATATATATATATATATATATATATATATATATATATATATATAATATCCAGCCAAAAGTACGTCTTAAGTAACTTATTAAGGCTAATATATCTTCGAGAAAACTGTACAGTTTAACCACCAAAGACATTCAGCTAAGGCGAGTGACGTTAGATTAGATACCAAACACGACCCACACACACAGTGGCCGCCTCGCAGTTGTAAGCCAGAGCCACTGGACGCCTTGGACGGTGGAGGCAGTGGTGGGGGGCCCGTCTAAGAGGTCTTAGGGACACTCACCGCCCTTGTCGTAGAGCCTGAAGGCTTCCTTGAGCTCCTCGTGCATGGCCTCGTCGTCGTCCTCCTCCAGGAAGGGCATCACGATGGCGCAGAACTTATCAAAGTCCACTTTGCCTTCCTCTGTCGCCAAAGAGACACAGACACACACACTTAGCTACAGGCGGCTCAGGGTCTCGCTAAGGTGGTGGAATCCTAAGCATATTTATGCTCTTATGTTTAGACAAATTAAATTTTAGTATATTACAAAGATTTCCAAAGTCCAGAAAACTATGGTAGAAATAAACTTCGTTACAGCAGACAAAAAAAAAAAAACAGATTTTCGTTCCATGCTACATTGTACGTCCTCGACTTACAAATCTGCAATCCCGGGTTCGAGCCCCAGGGATTCCAGATTCCCCAGGCAAAACAAATGGTGGCTGGGCACATTTTTTTTCACCTGATGCGGCTGTTCACCTAGCATCATCAGGGATTAAGTAACTGTTGTGAGTTGCATCCAGGGGGGTAGGTAGGTAGGCAGTTTGACCTGGGGGGGGGGTGGAGGGGGGTATTTCCTCAGTCGGGTACAGGAAGTCTGTACTTGGGCTTATTGAGCCTCTCCCCCCCCCCAATCCCCACCCCCACAGCGCCTAACTACTGACCTTACCCAGGATGCAGTCGACAACTGTTGCCCAACTACCGGGTACTTCGTTGCTGCTAGGTGAACAGCGGCATCAGGTGAAAGGAAATGTGCCCAACCGTTTCTGTTCTATCGGAGGATCAAACCCGGTTCCTTCGATGGTGAGGCGAGGACGTAGGCCACTGTGCTACAGAACTCGGTTAAACAGTAATCAAGTTTGTATAACATGGCTTTCCAAGTACACAAGAGAGTTAAGTGTATGGTGTGTGTATGCGCGCGCGTGTGTGTGTGTATGCGCGCGTGTGTGTGTGTGTGTGAGCGCGTGTGTGTGTGTGTGTGTGTGTCAAGCCACCACCCAACTTACTCTCAGGGTCGTTCTCGGCGATTCTGGCCTTGAGGTCGTCTTCGTCGAAGGCCTGGCCGAGGGTGTTGAGGATGTTGACGAACTTGTTGCACTCGACGAAGCCCGTCTTCCCCTGGTCGAACATCTGGAAGACCTTCTTCATGGCTTATGGAAGTGAGGAAGCACGAGATTACCAAGGGGGAAATGACGACCATTAAGTATCTACCGGACACGACAGAGGAGGAGGAGGAGCTAGGAAAGGTCCGGATCTAGGAAAGGAAAAGGACTAGGAGAGTGCTATAAGAGGAAAAGGACTAGGAGAGTTCTAAAAGAGGAAAAGGAGAGGAATTGACCGGGTGCCAGTCCTTAACTGTAGCCTCTGTTCATCCAGCAGTGAATGGGTATCTGGTTGTTAAACGATTTGGCGGGTCGTATTCCGGGGAAAATTAGGATTCAGGACCTGTCCGAAACGCTATGCGTGTGGTTAGTTGTTACAAGAATGTAACAACTCTTGTATATAAAATAAAAATAACTCATCATTAGAAACCTCATCACAATCGACTTGAGAATGGTCCAGGATGGACTGAAACGTCGTCGTCCCATCACCTTCTCGTGTGTGGTCTGGTCAACATACTTTAGCCACGTTATTGTGACTCATCGCCTTCATTAGAAGCAAAAGTACGCTTGATACCTGGTAAGGAATGGAAAGGAGGCGTCATTCAGTACTGGAACGGGAAGGCGTCTTTTCTTTACGAAGAAGTAAATATACTTCATTTCGAGAAAAAGGAGAAATAAAACGACATCTGTTGATTCGGGAGCGAGGCGGAGGTGAGGTGCGAGTATTGTTGGCATACAGCGGCTTGAATGAAAGAGATTACCCCCCTTTAAGAAAATGGTCATCGAAAGAAAATGGATATTGTAAGAAAACTGTCATCTATTTTACGATAACTACAGAATTTACTACGATAAATTAATCAGGGTTGAACACACGAAACATTGTAGAATTACTGAGCAGAAAAGTATGTCCTGTTATCGCTAGATATTTATGTGTGATGTAACAATATACAGTAAATTTTGTAACTAGCTTGTCAAGACTGTAACTTGCTTACCTAATTAAATTTTGGAGTACAGTCCCTTAGCCCATTATGTGCCGCTGTAACCCCATGCACTACCACCCACAGGATGGGTATCAGGTGCATAATAAATGAACTAAACTAACAAATTTATCAGGTACATAAATTAGCCGTGAAAGGGAGTAATGCAATCTCAAAAAAAATTCTTGGTAAAAAAATGTGGTCAAATAGGGTGCCAGTTTTACTGAAATTTTGATTGCTATCTATCTTGATCCATTGTTAAAACAGCAGAGATTCCGTAGGATCTCGGGCTGTTCCTACGGGATCGTAGGATCCCGTAGGATCCCGTAGGATTCCGAGAAAACACATGGGCTGTCGCATGGACCCATGTGTTCTGTTATGCTGATCTAGGTCACCTCGCACTCACCACACAGGCCATAGAAAACGTGATAGAAATGTATAATTAATCATTTATTGTGTCGGGGAACAGACAGCCAGTTTATACATAATTTGTATAGGCTTATAGGTATATAGGCTGTTTGTTTGGCTTATATCGAGAACTTCCCTCCCCCCTCCCGGGTCAAATTACTGTGAAATAAATGTACTACTATTTATAAACAGTCTTTGATGTGATTTCTTAATAGCTACGAGTCAGGGAGGCTTCCCTATGAGCTCTTATATCCCACATCCTTGATCTGACTCCTTACAGACAAGGATAGTTAAGGACACACAACCCTGAAGTTTATAGACGCAGAAAATACCGGGTGACCAAGGATCAAGAAACTGCTCTATTTTGGTTTGAAGCTATTTTTGGCTTGTGGTGTGGCAGCCAAAGTTGGCAGCCATACCCTTGATGCCTGTCATCGTGGCCACGTAAATAGTCCCACCCCAACCCCTCAACCCTCCCCAACCCCTCAACCCACCCCAACCCCTCAACCCTCCCCAACCCCACTCCGTCGCTCGCGGTGCCTTGTGAGGTGAGGTGAGGGGGGGGGGTGATAAGTGAGAGTGTGAAGTTCGTGGGGAGCATTTTGATGGAGTCTACTCTACAAAAAAAAGAGGCGTCTTCCCAAAGTTGTGAAGCCGAATGCTTAACCGAGGTGTTAAGCATTCAGTTAAGGCTCATGGCAAGACAAATTGACACGAGCCCATTATAGGCGGAAACGTATATTACAAAGCCGCATTTCCGATCAGTTTGTTTCCTGGGGAAACTCCACCTGCTTGAGCAAGCCCGTGAAATTATGCCCGTTGAGATGCCATCAATTTGTCTTGGAGACGAGCGCTAATGAAGATTAGGAATGAAAGCGAGGAAGTGGTCACTACCTGAGAGACTGTGTCCACCCAAGACACATTAGAATCATGTATCGGGCGATACATTGTACAATGGGGCGATGAGTCACAATAACGTGGCTAAAGTAAGTTGATCAGACCACACACTAGAAGGTGAAGGGACGACGATGTTTCGGTCCGTCCTGGACCATTCTCAAGTCGACAATCTCAAGTGACATTCTCAAGTCACAATCGACTTGAGAATGGTTCAGGACGGACCGAAACGTCGTCGTCCCTTCACCTTCTAGTGTATGGTCTGGTCAACATTGTACAATGGGTTAAGAAAACACTAAGTATTTGCCAAGCATAGATCCTGTCCTTAAAATATCTACACACTTTTATCCCGCAAGATAACGCAAGTTAAAAAGTTGGCAAAAAAGTCTTTAATGGTCCCTCGTTCAACGATTAGTTCACTTGAGCTGGCTAATGGACTCCTCAAGCGTGTGGGTACAAGTGACGGGATGATTAACTCGCCGGAGGTTCTTGCCACAGGGATGTGCTGAAGATGTTACAATGTCGGTCACTCATAGGATGTGACCCCTTGGTTGACTAAACGTTACTCGATCCTGTAAACGTCTGTGCGACTTTTGACTACTTAAAAATAGTCATGTGGACAAAAAAGGCTTATTTATTAAATAAAATGTTTCCAACCCCTCCCGTTATTAGATAACCTCCGTTCTTCACAACAAGACTTTTGTTATGTGATTTTATAAGCGTCTCAATGGATATTTTTACCAACTATTTTATGTTTGTGGGAATACATAGCAAGTGTAGAGGGCAATGCACTACGGGTCATATAAATGCGAGGAAAAGAAAATAATAAAAAGAAAGCATTCTGGCAGGCTGAGCATTATTATACCTAAACCTCAGTCGAGTGTAACCCATATGGCGACCACCTGATCAAGTACAACTGCTTGCTATGCTCGTTTTACAAATAGATGCCACACGATTAATTAAACACCAGATGATTAACACCTGAGTACAGAGATCAAAGAACTGTAACTCAACCCTCGTAAACCAGGTTAACCAAATGGTAACCACGCAATTACTCTTTCCGTGAATTTATTGTTCCTGTTACGTTTTCTTTAGTTAGCAAAATTGTGCATTGAATATTTGAGACCAGGTACTTCAGGATTTGTGTGTTGGGTGAGGGAAGGGGGGATATTTAGAGGAGGTACTTTAGGCCTCGGCCCAGGTACTGTAACCGGTTAGGTTAATGAGAGCCATGTCATCTCCCAAAGCACCACCCACCAATTGAGTTCTATCCAGCTCTTCAGTTACCCCCTGAGTGACGTTAAATTATCAAGATATCCGAAAATATTGGACAATATTTTAACTTATAATCACAACTTAACGTTCAAATACACTATGTTTATGTAATTATTTTAATATTTTAGCAATATGATTTTGTTAAGTCTATGATTTATATGTTTATTATAAACAAGGATTTCCATATATAACAAACATTATTCAACACACTTCTAGAAAACGATAAGGCAGAAATGAAAGAAAATATTACATTTCTAAACGAGTGCATGCACCTTATATAAAACTTTTAATATTTATAATAATCGGAAATAAAGGAGCTAAACTGAATGAAAATAACTCGAGAATGAGTAAATTAAAATGTAACCGAATACGTTGAAAAAACAGAGCCTGAAATAAATATAACATTAGCACCAATGCGGTAACTGATAAGAACAAGGCAGTATAGTAACGAACAGGCAAACAATACAATAATGATGAACAAGGCAGTATACAATAACGAACAGGCAAACAATACAATAGTGATGAACAAGCAAACAAGGCAGTATACAGTAACGAACAGGCAAACAATACAATTGTAATGAACAAGCAAACAGGGCAAAATAATAACAATAGCTATACGAGCCACTGACAAACCTTCTTCATCCGCACCCTTGGACAGGCTGTTGTTCCCTAATCGCATTGTTTCTCATCTTTGTGAGGTGCAAGATAAGAAGCTGCTTAGGGTTGTAACCGCCCATATTCGATAGTGAGGATGATCAAGGGTGTCAACGCTCCACAGAAAACTACAATGTGGAAGAGCAGGGGAAACCATGCTATTACGTACTTACCTCGCTCATTCCTCGAAGCCTCTGATCCATGCGGTCTAAATGTTTATTTGTTTTTTTTCCTGTGCAGGATTTTGACTTCTTTGGAAATTGTGACATTCAATAAACGTTATTAATTTCTTCATAACATCCGTTCTTTATGTCAGGTTCGTTTTCTTGCCGGGTTTTGAAGGAAGCAATCGACATTATTTTCTTTAAATGTTGTTCTCTGAAATTTAGTCGTGATAAAATTTGAATTTTATCGCGACTTTCCAGAGATTCTTATTTTAGAAGAAACTTGGACAAACATATGCTGAAGTATCACAGTCCCAGTATTTTCTTGCCAAATATCAAGAAGCAGGAGTTACTGTATTGAGTTGACTGTACCTCGCAGTAATATTCATCCATAACAAAATCCGATGTAATAGTTTTCTATATATGCTAGATGTTTTAATGCAGCTTAATGACTGGGAGTAATTTTTACATCTTATCTCTGATGATGAGCCCCCTGTCGACCACGACACCAAGGAACACTCTTCTTGACCTGCCCGAGGATCCCAGCATCCCCGTCTGAAAGGAGCAGCACCTCTACAGGAGGCCATGAATGATAGTGTGTAGGGGTCGATCACTACTCTACCAGGCAGGCAACACACACACGGGCTGAAACAATGTTGCTATCTTAATTACAAGATCCACAGATGTTAAAACATGTAATAGTTTGGCCTTTGTAGTAAAAAGTGTTATATATATATATATATATATATATATATATATATATATATATATATATATATATATATATATATATATATATTATTGTACCGGATGGATGCTCGCTTGACTGTTTTGTTTGGATGCTCGCATGACTTGTTTGTATCATTAGATCAGCTGTGTCGTTCTTGTGTACAGGTTGGTGGAATGTTAACTTCTAGTTAAATTTCTGTATATTCTAGCTTTAGTCATGTGCAGTTGGCTTATTGTTATAGTGAATAAACTGTGTATATTATATTAATGGCTTGTGTTATTGCAGGATGTAACTGTACTGTAATTACTTGATCAATAAAGCCACAAATCTGGCAATGCTTCTCCTTTTCCTCAGCCTTGATGCTAGTTCTAAAGTGTTTGCCTAACATATTTTAACCTGAGTTTACCTGAGAGGAGCCACCATATTTAGTGGCCTCGACGGGGGGGCCAGAAGGCCGTGTTTGCTAAAGGTACTGCATTGTTTCTTCTCCTAAAACATGTCATAAAGTTAACTTTAACGAATTTTAGATTTTAGCAATAAAATCTTACGTCTGTATTCACATCGGTAGTTGTATCGTGAGGTTTCAAGTGACAGGTATTTTAAACCCAAGTTAGTGTTTCTGCTCAAAATTCATCTTGATATCATCAAAAAAGTCTACGTTGCATGAAGGATTCGAGTTGTATAAATTGGAAATGGCCAAATCATCACATTCTTGCATAAAAAATATTATTTGTTGACATCACCTACTAAAGCTACTTGTATTTATTTCTAAAAATATATTAATACCTAAATCATTGCTATTTTGTTACACAAAGTTTCGACAGCGTCATCATGCCCCATGCCTAGTGTCCGGTCACTGGCAGCGTGATCATGCACCATGCCTAGTGTCCGGTCACTGGCAGCGTGATCATGCACCATGCCTAGTGTCCGGTCACTGGCAGCGCGATCATGCACCATGCCTAGTGTCCGGTCACTGGCAGCGTGATCATGCACCATGCCTAGTGTCCGGTCACTGGCAGCGTGATCATGCACCATGCCTAGTGTCCGGTCACTGGCAGCGTGATCATGCACCATGCCTAGTGTCCGGTCACTGGCAGCGCGATCATGCACCATGCCTAGTGTCCGGTCACTGGCAGCGTGATCATGCACCATGCCTAGTGTCCGGTCACTGGCAGCGTGATCATGCACCATGCCTAGTGTCCGGTCACTGGCAGCGTGATCATGCACCATGCCTAGTGTCCGGTCACTGGTAGCGTGATCATGCACCATGCCTAGTGACTGGCCAGTGGCAGCTAATTTTATCACATTCTTTACACGCTAAGTCCACACGGCTCTAATGATGAACTCATCACATTCTTGCTGTGTAGCAAGAGATGACACTACAGACGGTCCCATCAAGCGGAATTGAAACGCAATGCCAACTCTGCCAGGCATTCCAGACTCAAATTGAATTAACAAAATTATGGCAAAAGGGACATTTTAAATACCACAGTTGACAGGGAAAAAAAAAGTCTCAAGGAAGGCTGGAAATTGAACGATGTACTCGGACACTCAAATTATTAGCCTAAGTTGGGTCGATTAAGTTAATAGGTGCGTAGGACACATTGTGTGATAATGTGTTTAGTCCAAAATATCCAAAAGGAGGGAAGGGGTTGTTGAGAAATGTTGTGATGAAACAACTAGGCTGCAAGAGTGGCGGTCATGGCCAAGAAAGCGTTCACCTCGTAACAACTCCGCCAGGTTGGACTTTTACCAAAGCTAGATGACCCTGATTCATTAAAGATCATTATCATACTCACTGGCGATCTGTTCTTCATCCATCGTCTGCAATTGAGAGAGAGAATGTAAAGTGTTGCGTTTTTGCACGGAAGACGTCGAAAGAAATAAACAGCGACGATTAAAATATTCAAGTAAAAAGAGACACTTGTATATAAATATGTGAAGACAAGAAGAAAATTTTTATTATACAAACGAAAATAAAGACATTGTTATTACATAAGATAGTGACAACACAAAAAAATTAGAGCTTGATCTAATTATTGTGTTCACAGCGAAGCCTAGTGTTCATGTGAACACTAGGCTTTCCTGTGACGTGTCATGTAATTCACTTCCCTGGCTGTGTTCACCCAGCAGTGAACGGTTGTTAAGCAATTTGGCGGGTCGTATTCCCGGGAAAATTAAGATTAAGGACCTGCTCGAAGCGCTACGCGTGCTAGTGGCGGAATGTAAGAACTTGTATATATATATATAAAATGTAAAAAACAATTGTTGTAACCATGCCCTATTTAATGTTGTACAGTACAAAGCCTCTGCTGTACAAAATTGTATAGCAGAGCCTGGGCCGCACGAGCCCCAGAAGGTGGACGTCCTGATCCCAAACCTACGGGTTCCAGACAGAGATCGTCACAGCCCTCTTTCACCCGAGGCCGACTTCCTTCAAGACCAAGCAGAAGGAAGAGTGATAATTACTAATTAATTATATTATTATAATAATTGTTGTATTAAATAATTATCACTCACTTGGGTTGGACGGTAGACCGAGGGTCTCGCTTCATGAAGGCTGGCGTTCAATCCTCGACAGTCCAAGTGGTTGGGCACCATTTTTTCTCCCCGTCCCATCCCAAATCCTTATTCTGATCCCTTCCAAGTGCTATATAAGCGTAATGGCTTGGTGCTTTCTCTTGATTGCTCCCTTTCCTTCTGCTGGGTCTTGAAGGAGGCCGGCCTCGGGTGAAAGAAGGCTGTGACGATCTCTGTCTGGAACCCGTAGGTGCGGGACTGGGACGTTCACCTTCTGGGACTCGTGCGGCCCCCCAGGCTCTGCTTCGGGAGGCTGGGGTGGTTCTTCTCCGGCCCCGACCACGGCGGTCTCCGGGTTTGGAGTCCTTGAGCCTTATTTCACCAACTTCGAGGTCAACTCCGGAGCTCACAGTTTCTGCAACGGTGCTGGAACCAATCGTATTGGTGTTTGCCTTTCCATTGGAGACTTTCGGCGCCGTGGAGAGGGGGGGGGGACCTGCTGCTTGGGTAACAGCTTCTCCTCCATATCAACCTATCCCGGTTTTCCGCCCTGGAGAGGCCACTCCAGACCGACAACCAGAGCGCAACTCCATAGTTTCCTGAGATTGCTGGATGCCTACTTCTAGTACACAATTTACCTGAGACCACTAACACTTTAATAGCCTCGACGAGGACAGGAAGCCGGCGGCTTGTCAAATGTCCCCCCATTTGTCCTAATGTGTTACTTTCAACAGGGAAGGATTCCCTGTTGCCCTGATCATCCAGACTATTGGTGTTTGTATAAAATAAGGAATATTGACACCTGTCAGACCTACGGCCAAGTTTACGCCCGTCACAGGCCAAGCTGATAGTGGTCAGTGGTCAAGCTTTCACTCGTCAGCGGTCAAGCTGATACTAGTCAGCGGTCAAGCTTCCATTCACCAGCTCCAACATTTGAGTTGTATTGACACTGAGCTACCATCATGCATCACTTATCATAATAATTAGCAAAATAAAATGAATTATTAGAAGTTTCCATAACTATATTAGCAATTGTAACTATTCATTTAAATAATAATTCAAATATTTTAATAATAATGATAATTATGAATAAATTAATAATCATACTGGTCGTTCACTTTAAGGTCTATTAAATAAGCAACTAACTGCCTCCCAAATCCTTCGAAATACACCAAGAGTCTGGTTGTTCAAATGCGGTCAGCCCAGGACATTAGAAAGTTTCCCAACCCACACACACGACGGGTCGGGTTGGGTCGGACTGACTCTGCTGCTTTTCATTTCATTTGTTTGGTTGAGTCGGTTAAATGATTTATGATAAGATGTATTGTCCGACTTTACAAGACTTTGTTGATGTTGTTAATTGCTTCCAAGCAATGTGCAACAATCTTATTGCAGCCTTCTAAGTATCATTAAGGGGAGCCGGTCGGCCGAGCGGACAGCACGCTGGACTTGTGATCCTGTGGTCCCGGGGTCGATCCCGGACGCCGGCGAGAAACAATGGGCACAGTTTCTTTCACCCTATGCTCCTGTTGCCTAGCAGTAAAAAGTACCTGGGTGTTAGTCAGCTGTCACGGGCTGCTTCCTGGGGGGTGGAGGCCTGGTCGAGGACCGGGCCGCGGGGACACTAAAGCCCCGAAATCATCTCAAGATAACCTCAAGATAGATCATCACTTTATCTGTCTTGGGCACCACTTGAATAGCGTTAAGTGCGTTCATACTGCAAGAACCATCTGCACTGAAGCATTCTTGGTTTCCGTTACACCTTCCAGGTGTAAGCTGGATAGCGAAGGTTAAGCAGGCGGGGCTAATTGTGTCTTCACCTTAATGAACAGTCGACTTGAGAATGGTCCAGGACGGACCGAAACGTCGTCGTCCCTTCACCTTCTAATGTGTGGTCTGGTCAACATTCTTCAGCCACGTTTTTGTGACTCATCGCCTGCACCCTTATAAAGTTACCTAAGTGTTGTAATGATCCCAAGGCCAAAGCTGTTCCAATGAGTCTGACTTGAGAATGCATGTTAATACACATGATTAAAGCTGCGATTAACTTGTGAGAACATACGTGTGTGTGTGGTGGTGTTGAAGGAGGTGGTGGTGTTGAAGGTCCTGGTGGTGTTGAAGGAGGTGGTGGTGTAGAAGGTCCTGGTCCGTCGCGGTGTTGATAGCGGCGATCCTTCCTGTGCCCTGACGGGTGCCCGGGGCGACTGAACTCACCGGACCACCCGCACCCCGCCTATATACGTCACAGGACCAGGTAATCCACAGTAACGCCACGAGACCACTGTAAACCTGGCAGGGGTCGCCTGTAAGAGAAGGTACGGGGGTGGGGGGGAGGGGTGCTGCTGTTGGGGCGGGGGAGATAAAGGGGGGGGAGGAGGGGGTGACAATAAGGGGGATGGAGAGGGGCTGTCGGTCAAGGGGGTGAGAGAGAGAGAGACACACACAGCTCGGCTTTAGTACAGGTGTATTGCGTCCTGTTTACAGTGCGTTACCTCATCATATTCATCTGCTATTGTTAAACATGACTAAGAGCCCTCAGTGAGTGAGGGCCAGGTGATCACCCATGACGGTGTCCCATGCCAGCTAGTTAATGAGGGGAGGGAGGGGTGAGGAGAGGAGCAGGGTTATTTAAGGTGTCATGAGTATTGGACAAGCATGAGGTTGGGCAGGGATATGAGGTTATTAGCATGAGGATTGGTATATGAGGAGGATGGAGAAGAGAGCGTTTAGCAGGTAGATACAGAACATGGAATAGTATGAGGGTGATCAGGTGAGGTGATCGTATATAGGCTGAAGCAGGTACTTTCCTAGCACACAGTACCGCTCCTGTGCCAGGTAAGTCCACTACGGGCTCACCATAGCCCGTGCTACTCGGAACTTGTTCCGAGTAGCTGAATCTATAACAACAATATCTTTCCTAGCACAGTTTTGCCGCATCTGCACTCGCAAGTTTATCACAACAACAGTGGAAAAAGCTTGAAGTTGCCCAAAACATTGCTATGAGAGCCGGACTGGGAGCCCCCGTGTAGACCAGGCTTGAAACTCTAAGACTAGAAACGGATTTGCCCTCTCTTCAAGTAAGAATATCACAAAGAACAGCTACAATTATCAGTAAGGTCATTATTTCCTCTGATCCAGTCCCAGTACGGCAGGCCTTGGTGGATGGACTTGGTCAAAACAACGGAAACGCTTGGGCTGCCAGAGGGGGAAATGTCCTAAACAGACTACAATTAAACAGCATGAGTCTAGATAGAGAGGGTGAACAACCGACTGGGAGAACCAGTATCATCAACCCAAACTGAGCTGTTTGCCATACAATAGACATATGGCACATTCTCATATGTGCTTGCACAAAACACTCAAAATGCAATCATACACAGACTCAAAAGCTGCATTTCAAATATTAGGTCAAAGGCAGTGGAAAGACAACGGGGAAATAATTACCACCATTTTGTATCTTGGAGCAGTCGCTAAAGGCAAAAGATTCAACATCACCCTAAACTGGATCCCATCCCATGTTGGAATCCCATTAAATGAGAAAGCTGAGGAAATTGCTAAATTGGCAACTCGTCATCAGTGATACATAAAACAATTGAACCTAGCCTAGAGTAGATGTTTTTCATGGTCACCAAAAAACTCTAACACCTCAACAAAGCCCATCTACACCAGAGAGTAGCAGAAGGTTCGCCCTCTGCAATATGGTATCTTCAGGCCACCAAATTAAACAGGTGAAATATCCCAAAAGGAATCCACAGGGAAATAGCAGTTCGGTTATATAGACTACGTCTAGGTTCCAGATGCAACTGGGTGATTGGTGAACCCCGACAGAGAGAATGCATCTTCTGCCAAACTGTCACAGAAAAACCACTACTTCACTATCTCCTGGAATGTGAAGCAACCAACCACCTTGAAAGAGCTTTTAAGAGTCCCTGAATCTTGCAGTAACCACCCTGAAGCCATCAACACTGTCACTCTTCTGGTCAAAAAAAAGGTGTCCAGCAGCTGGACATCCTCATAAAGACTGTCAAGCAGTATCCTCCCCAGCCTGATGATTAAATGCGACACTGTGTAGATTTACTGAATAAAATTTTTACCACTTACGGGCTATTCATGGCCATCATCAACCTATCAGTCTCGGCAAGCTGAACTTGCGGGAAGATGGGCCTCAGTTCGTTGGTCTGGCTTTCAGCTCTCACTCGCCTGGCTTCAAGGTTTACCTGGTGTAAACCTGGTGTACGGGTTTACAAGACTGTTAGGTCGTGTCATGTCTACAGTCCAAGCTGTGTGTTGTCCACGTCCACTCCGCTTCTTGGCGCATTTAATGTGTTCACTACTCTTACAAGAATTATTGTTCTCACTGTGGCTCATTCATAGGTTGTGTTCCCACCTTTACCCCCAGGTGATGTACCGCTCCTAGCAAACTGTCCTCTCACTCTTCCCCTGAAAACTTTGAATATGCTGAATGTCTCAAATGATTCTTGTATCTTTCAGTAACGCAAGGGGCTAATTCTTTTAGCTTGTCCTCGTAACACACATCTCACACGAGTTACAAGGGCGTCACGTCGTACAGGAGGAACGCTGAACCGCTGCCGTTTAAGTGTCCTAGCGGGCAGGATGGTATTTCAAGTACATACAGTAGTCACATCTAGAGTAACGTCTGACATGTGAGTCACAAGAGACGAGGAGCGGCAGCAGCGGCGGCGGGCGTGAGACGTTGAAGCCAACACAGAGGGCCTAAAATGCCACCACAATCGCTCGCTACGAGTCACGATCGGCCCACCATCGCGACTTGTAGCGATTGACAGCAATTGATTTCCCTCACAGTTATATAACTGAAGCGAGACGGATCAGTGCAGTTGTGCGTAGCACCGTAGTCACTGGGAATGATGCTGGGCTCTGATCACAACGGGAAAGTTCCATCTTACTAAACTTTTCTCACCCAAATCCTCACTCCGTGATGCTGGTGCCGCTCTGAGATTGGGCTTCCACAGCCAGAGAGGCTCAGCGCCTCCCCCGTCACCTGCTACGCCCAGCTAAGCACAGAACCAGGACCATTGTTACACAACTCGTGTAATATCTCTCTGATCGGCGCTGATATGCCATTATCTGAATCATTACCTCGCCCTGTGTGACCGATCACAGCCATGCATCTTGATGTATTGTGGCTGATGAAGAAGCTGTTGTGGGGAGGGAGGGAGGGAGGGAAGGAGAGAGGGAGTGAGGGAAGGACCACTGAAGAGAGTCCCGGAAAAGTGTATTTTGACATTGATGCTTAGATGAAATATTGATTGAAATTTTAATAAATGTTAATAAGACACGAATAGTTTTGATTGATGGTTACAATATGGTTTCATGATAGTAGATTCAATGAAATAATGGCATAGTTTATGTTTTGATAGGCAAGGAACTCTAAAATATATATATATTAAATATTTCACGTGCTTTATGAGCGCCTGTTATCCAAAAATGTCTGTAAACCGATTGGGATAATAACATAATACTAAGAATGTACAATAAAGATGGAGACAGTTTGGCCCAGTGGCCGTAGACAGCACCACTGACCAGTGTCCATACACTAATGGATGGCTCAGTCAGCTTTAAACTCTGTCATGGCATTAGGTACATTAGAGTACATGGTGAAAAACAGTCCGCTGAGGTTACCTCGTCACCATTAATCTCCACTCTAGTCAACCCAACACTATCATCATCCACCACCACCACCTTTTCTGTCTAAATACGTGCTCCATCAACTATAATCTTCAAGTTAACAAGTGGATCAGAACTTCTCATATTGGTGAGCACTAACAAAATACTGTCGAATTTTTGCAACAAAATTGTCATTTTTTTCCTTTATTAAGATGGGAAAGCTTTAAGAAGCTTTTTAAGATGTCTACTCACTTATCCGAACACAACCGTTCAGTCTCAGTCCCGAGGGGTTCGGATAACACGTGGCTGACCTCCTCCATTCACAACTTTAAGTTCTGATCCGACAAAGAATTTAACCGACAGCAGAGTTAAATTGGTTTCAAGAGTTAAGAGCTAGACCTCACTCTCCCGGTTACTGTTGGGTAATTGTCTACAGCACCACGACCCCCGCCTGCACCACCCACCACCACTGCCACAGTGACGACCACCACCACTGTCACAGTGACGACCACCACCACTGTCACAGTGACGACCACCACCACTGTCACAGTGACGACCACCACCACTGTCACTGGGACGACCCACCACCACTGTCACTGGGACGACCACCACCACTGTCACTGGGACGACCACCACCACTGTCACTGGGACGACCACCACCACTGTCACAGTGACGACCACCACCACTGTCACAGTGACGACCACCACCACTGTCACAGTGACGACCACCACCACTGTCACAGTGACGACCACCACCACTGTCACAGTGACGACCACCACCACTGTCACAGTGACGACCACCACCACTGTCACAGTGACGACCACCACCACTGTCACAGTGACGACCACCACCACTGTCACAGTGACGACCACCACCACTGTCACTGGGACGACCACCACCACTGTCACTGGGACGACCACCACCACTTTCACAGTGACGACCACCACCACTTTCACAGTGACGACCACCACCACTTTCACAGTGACGACCACCACCACTGTCACAGTTGTAACAAACTAGGCTGTTGTAAGAATTATCCAAAGTGGTTTATCGACAAAAGAGAATGGGAAGCTGAGCCGCATGGTGACCTGACCCCCAGGGGAATTCGCGGTGGAAATAACCGACGCTTTGTTCATATCTGCGTATAATGAATCATCCTATAGTATTCAGTAATTTAGAGAAAATTAGCCTTTATTCATTTTGCATTAAAATTGTATTGTATAATAGTACTGGATACAATATCAAGAGTATTCTAATTATTGAGTTTAAGTCACCATCAGTGACGTCACGAATCAGATCTAACTTTTGAGGCGGAGTGACCGGCGGTCATAGGTCATCAGGGGTTGACAGGTCTACTATTTCTCAAAGTTTTAATAACCATTTTTGTGATCGGGAACAGCTCTGCCGTTAGATGTTTGTAATTTAATTCAGTAAAATAATTCAACCAGTCTGGATCAATTAAGTACAACAGAGTTTAATTGTTATAACTTAACCTTGCTAAAGTAACTGGGTAAGCGATGCGGAACAATACAATACTCTGTCTGGGGTAGTCCAGACAAGGAAAAGATCAGTGTGGTC